GGAGAATCCTACATACTGACCTGCAGTGTTTGATGCCCGTTGCTTGAACACTTGGATCAGACAGGCAGCTGGGAAACAACTGGAGTAGATTTCTCTGATCAACAGTGGCAGCAGCAGCATCTACTACTCTGACTCAGTCAGAAACTGGAGACAACAGCAGAAATAAGTTTTTTCTGCAGATGAAGATACTCCTGATTGAAGCACATGAAAAAAAATAAAAATAAAAAATAGAGAGTTTGATATTTTTCTACCTAGTAAGTAATTAAACTTTATTTGTATAGCGCTTTTCACAGACAAAGTCACAAAGTGCTTCACATGATAACATATAAACAACACAAGTAAAAACAGATAAAATGCAGTAAAAGCTAAAATAAGTAAGTGAATAAAACAATAAGCTATGTGCTTTTGAAGGCTTGTGAAAACAGGTGGGTTTTTAGCTGCTTTTTAAAGATATCCACTGAGTCCAGAGAGCGCAGGGACAGGGGGAGTTCATTCCAGAGACGGGGTGCCACCGCTTTAAAAGACCGGTCTCCTCGGGTTTTAAAACAGGTCAGAGGAACCATAAGCAGGTTTTGACCTGAAGACCTTAGGCTACGGACCGAAGTATACGGCTGGATCACACCTGTCATGTAGCCAGGCGCCTGTCCATGATGGGCCCTGAAGGTAAGGACCAGGATTTTAAAATGTATCCTGGAGGCCACAGGAAGCCAATGTAGGGACTTCGGGAGAGGATTAACATGGGCTGTCCTATTTGTGCGGGTCAGGAGTCTTGTAGAAGAGTTCTGGACAAGTTGTAGGCGACCCAGCTCCTTCTTGCTCAGACAGGTAAACAGGCTGTTACAGTAATCCAGTCTTGAAGAAACGAAAGCATGGATGATTCTCTCCAAATCATCATGTGAGATGATTTTCCTTACCTTGGAGATATTGTGCAGATGGAAGTAACAGTTCCTGATCAGTTCTTTTGAGTGTAGCGCAAGGGACATCCCCTCACCGAAAATCACTCCAAGATTGCGTAGACTGGATTCGGCTGAGGAACATAGATCACCCAGGTGCTGTTTAATGTCAGGGATGGCACTGTCAGGAGCAATAATGAGTGTCTCAGTCTTATCAGTATTCAGTGCGAGATAGTTGTCGTTTAACCACTGCTGAATCTGGGACAGTTCATCAGAGAGTGTAATTTGTGGACCTCTGAGGTTTTAAAGGAGCAGTACAGCTGTATGTCGTCAGCAAAAAGATGATATGCCACATCACTGTGCTGCTGGATAATCTGGCCAAGAGGGAGGAGATAAAGTAAGAAGAGAAGTGGTCCAAGGACTGAGCACTGTGGAACACCATACTGGAGATCTCCCCGCTCAGACATCATATCATTGACAGCCACACTGAAGCTCCTACCAGCTAAGTAGGAAGTAAACCACTCCAAAACTGGACCTAAAAGAAATTACAAAGGGCATTCAGTTGGTGCAAAGGTTAAGCATGCAACTAATGTATGAAAGCTTTGGTGCTTGATGTGGCTCTCAGGTTTAATGATCCGTCCCTTCCCATTCCCACTCTCCTATCCTGCCTGCATACATTTGTAAATAGAGGACAGTAATGCCTCAAAATACTCTTAGAAAGCTGCATATTCTCTCCATTCAGAGTCACTGTTTTGCTGGAAGTATCTAAATTAACGCTAAACTTGTTCTTCAAAGTGATTTTTACATTTTTTTTTTTTCTGGTGGTTTATTGTAATTGAAAAAAATTATAATAATGTGGCCATTAATATAAATAAATACAATTTCAGTTTATCATTTCATACATGTTTTTATTTATGAAACCGATAGAGAAACCCAATTATGGATGCAGTTTAATTCTCACCAAAGTTTTGAAATAGTAAAATCTTAATATATTTTTCACTGAAATGTAAAATATATATAGTTAATGATAAAATTAAGCTACTGTAGATCTCTTCTTTCACTGTCTGTTTCCAGAATGAGAGGAACAGTCAGAAACAGAACAGAAAAATATTCTATTCCTTACTAAATTTGATTTCAAGTAATTATGAATAAATAATGACGTTGGAAGAATATTGAAAACAGTGGTTTATGTCTATACACAAAAAGCTGAATTAGAACATATTTGTCGCTGAAATGAAAAAAAATGTTTTAATGATAAAGTTACAACTAGTTCTCTTCTTTCACTGTTTGTTTCCTGAACTAGAGGAAGAAAGAAGAAAAATAACCCAGATTCATACTGAATCAAACTTAACTGTGAGGAAAATATCTCACAAAGTGACAAATGTTTATTTTTTATGACAACCACCAGAAGAGAAACACCATGCCAGAAACAATAATACAGATTGATTTGAACCATTTTTAATCTGAGAATATTCTATAAATTCTATGGATTTTCTGAAAGCTTTTTTTATTTATCTGTGATACTAACTGGAAACAAATGTGCCTTTTATTTGTTTCTGTCTGAACAAAAACTGATATTTCTTCAATCTGGGGAAAAGCAATAACCCACTGGTTGAATAGTGCCATGAAAAAATGATAATTGAGTTCAGAGATAATAAGTCAAAAGAACTTTCAGATATGTTAAAGTTTTTAAACAGAAAGATAAAATCATTGACTTCCACAAGTCATTGATTTAGTATCACAAATTTAAGCAAAGACTACAATCTGTTCTGATGTCTTTCCTGCTCACAGCTCTTATAACTTTTGTCTAAAAATATTACATAATATAAAAATTCCTCCATTGCATTCCCATACATCATTTTTAAGACTGTACTATACTGTAAATGCAAACATATTCCTTAATTGTAGTTGATAGAAAAAAGCCTTTTTCTGCTTTCTTAATGGGATTATTGTTATTATGCAAATAAGAAGAGTCAGGTTTTAAAGACTTGATCCAATGCTTTCAGCTGCAGATGGGGAACAACTCCCATCAGATCACATGATCATCAATGTTCTCTGTCGCTCTGCTGCTGATGGCTGCTGGATGCTGTGAGTTTGTTTATAGCAGGGTAATGTTCTTTACTCTTGTTAACAATTCAGCTTTTATGTTCTGTTGTTTGTTCTTTAGATGTAAGCAGTGAAACTCTGACTCAGCCAACCTCTGAGGCTCTGCAGCCAGGTCAACGTCTGACCATCAGATGTCAGGTCTCTTATTCTTTCTATAACCACTATGGAGCTTGGATCAGACATCCTGCAGGCAAAGGAGTGGAGTGGATTGGGATGAAATCAAATTGGTTCACATTCTACCAAGATTCACTGAAGAACAAGTTTAGTATTGATGTAGACGCTTCCAGTAACACAGTGACTCTGAATGGAGAGAATATGCAGCCTGAAGACTCTGCTGTTTATTACTGTGCAAGATTCGACAACTACAGTGACACAAACGAGCAGCAAAGCTGTACAAAAATGAAACAAAATGTAGACAAAGGTTACGTTTTCTTATATTAAATCATAATGAATTAACTCTATAATTTTAAGGTTCTTGTTTTGTATCAGAATCTCATGTTCTATAATTATTTTTTGGGTAAAAAAAAGAAAAACCCTTTTGTCTGTCTACTTTTTTACCTGTTAGTTGTGATATAGAATTATAGTGTTTCATGTAATGGGACATGATTCTGCTGTTGGTCTATAGAGCATGATATAAACCAACAAATAAACTGAAAATCTCAAAAGAATTTAATTAAAGTAGATAAAAACTAAAACATGGTCAGCAAGAAAGTATATTTATATCCATGAAATAAATATATTTTTGAAGAAATGTTAGAATATCAATAAACAAAGATTAGTTTCTGGTTTACCTCTCTAAATGTCTGTCTAGATACAGAGGTACCAAAGAAATGGGCTCAGCTGTAATTGTGAGTTGAGATTTCCTGTTTTTCAGGAATCGTCTCAACATGTGGTTCAACAGAAATACTTAACAAACAGCTTAAAATGTGTATCAGAATTAGAGGAAAGGTTCAGAAACTCCTCAGTATATCAAGTTCTCATAAAAAAAAAAACCACAAGAGAAACCAGTAGTTTGATTTATAATAGACTGCTGTAACAGAAGAAGATTCACTTTGTGAATTATCATAAAATGTTCCTAATGTTAGCAGTTTAAATATAGAAAAATTTAATTCCTACAAAGTCTGATGTGTGTGAACTTTTATTGAAAATTTTAAAAGTCATAATTTATTGATGGCCTGCTCTGCTCTGGTTGACAGAGTAGAAAGATGATCTAATGTGATTAAATAAACACTAATTGGCTATTTTGTCCACATGAAAATCTAGGTTTTATCGATTTGATAAGATTGATGATTTGAGAAGAAAAGAAATCACAGTGGATTGTTTAAAATACCGACATGTTCACTGTTTATCTTTAATTAAATAATTAATATGTCTCATTTATCATTACATTGCTTGAACAAAAACTTATATTTTATTCTGGCTAAAGAGAAGCAATACACCAGTACTAAAATACTGCTTTAAAAACATATATACATAAATACATAAATATATTAATTTAATACTTTTAACAACAATAACAAAAAAAACTGAAAATTTAAGTCAAAGAAACATCAAATGTTCCTAATGTTCCCAGAGTAAATATAAAAAAATGAAATATAAATTGAATACAACTGATGTAAATGATGATTAAATAACTATCCTACCAATGTCACTGATTTAGTTCTGCAGATTTAACCATAGACTAGAATCTGTTCTGCTGTCTGTCCTATTGACCGATCTTATAGCCGACTTTGTCTTTGGTTCCTTAGTCTTTGTTGTTAACAGACGACATACATCATGTATCTGCTTATTGGGAAAAAACAAAAAAGGTGAAAAGGAAAGAGAAACTAGTTTATATATATACTGAATCAAACCAAGGCACAAATCTCTGTGTATCTTATAGAATTACAGACGTATTTCAGCTGGATATTATATATTTAGTCCTATTATGCTCTATTTCTCTAAAAAGATTACCGGTAGACACATATTTAAACACGTGGTCAAAATTCTTAATTGGCTTCCTGTTATTATGCAAATGATTGGTTCTGGTTTAAAGTCTTGATCTGATGCTGTGAGGCTGCAGAAGAAGAGAAACTCCCATCAGATCATCTTCAACACCAACATGTTCTCTGTAGCTCTGCTGCTGCTGCTGGCTGCTGGATCCTGTGAGTCTGACTGAAGGAGAAACATTTACAGCATGATGATCCTAAACTGACTGTCTATGTATTGATCCTAAATGTTTTCTCTACAGATGTATCATGTGAAACTCTGACTCAGCCAGCATCTTTAATTGTGCAGCCAGGTCAACGTCTGACCATCAGATGTCAGGTCTCTTATTCTTTGGGCAGCTACACAGCTTGGATCAGACAGGCTGCTGGGAAAGGACTGGAATGGATTGGGATGAAATATACTGGCTACTCGTACTACAAAGACTCACTGAAGAACAAGTTCAGTATTGACTTAGACACTTCAAGTAAAACAGTGACTCTAAATGGACAGAATATGCAGCCTGAAGACTCTGCTGTGTATTACTGTGCCAGAGACACAGTGACACAAACAAGCAGCAGAGCTGTACAAAAACCCCTCAGAGCCTGAATGGTAGTTATATGTAATCACCAGAGGAGGCGCTCTAAGACCATTTTTTGTGGTTGTTTAATTTGAAAGAAAGTTATCAACCTCAAACTGAAATGTTGAGCAGTTATAATAACAATAACAACTGAAAATATTATTATGTAGTTCCTTTACATACTGTATACCGTTTTTCTCAATTATTATGCAAATTAGCAGTCTCTGCTGTGTATTTCTGTCCTGTTGTCCGGTTTGTAGTTTGTGTCTCCAGCATCAGTGTGATGAACTCACTCTATGTTCTTCTTTTCCTTTTCTTACACTGAGTTTGCAAAACTCAATTTCCAAATGACCAACACACTCCTAGAATAAATATAAAAAATATATGGCTATAATTTATGCTATTTTGCCAACTGTCTGGCACACTGTCACATGTTAAAACTGTTTTAGATAATTATTTAACACTTCAATCAGCCTAAGCACTATAAATAGGCCACAGGTGAGCTGTCTGTGTGGAGTACAATGGAGGGAGCAAGAAGATTAAGGATTAGAGGAGGAAGAGGACATGGAGGGGAAGAAGTAGGAGAAAGAGGAAAAGGAGAACAGATACGTCATCATATGGGACAATATTAGTGTCCATTGGGATGCTTTGGTCCACAACTGATTTACAGATCACCCATTTTGGAATCTGACTGAAGAGTTCTTCTCTGCCTGGAGCTGGAACTGTCATCCCAATCAATGCATCGCCCTTTTACAGGTTATGGAGGGAGCATTTGGGAATATTGACCAGGCATCATGTCAGGCCTGGATACGATGTTCCACTACTGTGCTTTGGAGAAAAGGACATTGCATGTGATGTGGATGAAGTATTGTGGCTGGACCCAGAGAGATGACATGATCTAGACTTATATTTTTATTTCAAAGTGATAATTGTTTTGGCTTGAGAAAAAAAATAAAACAAGAGAATAGTTATTTAAGGTTGATTAGCTTTTGCAAGAGAACTACAATGTTTTGCTGATTTGGAAAAAGGTTTTCTTATTTCTACAAAGGTTACGTTTTAATATATTAAATCATAATGAATTAACTCTATAATTTTAAGGTTTTTGTTTTGTATCAGAATCTCATGTTTCATAATTATTTTTTGGCTAAAAAGACAAAAACCCTTTTGTCTGTCTATTGCAAATTACTGAATCTACTTTTTTACCTGTTAGTTGTGAGAGAGAATTATAGTGTTTAATGTAATGGGACACGAATCTGCTGTTGGTCTATAGAGCATGAAATAAACCAACAAATAAACTGGAAATCTCAAAAGAATTTAATTAAAGTAGATAAAAACTAAAACATGGCCTGCAAGAAAGTATATTTATATCAATGAAATAAATATATTTTAGAAGAAATGTTAGAATATCAATAAACAAAGATTAATTACTTGGTTTTCCCTCTCTAAATGTCTGTTTAGATCCAGGGGTATGATAGAAAATGGCTCAGCTGTAATTGTGGGTTGAGATTTCCTGTTTTTCAGGAATCGTCTCAACATGTGGTTCAACAGAAATACTTCTTAGTTAATTATTTTAACAAACAGCTTAAAATGTGTATCAGAAGTGAAGGAGAGGTTCAGAAACTCCCCAGAATATCAAGTTCTCATAAAAAAACCCACATCAAGATAAACCAGTAGATTGATTTTTAATAGACTGCCGTAACAGAAAAAGACTCACTTTGTGAATTATCATCAAATGTTACTAATGTTACCTGTTTAAATATAGAAAAATTAAATTCCTAAAAAAATCTAATGTGTGTGAACTTTTATTGCAAATTCTAAAAGTCATAATTTATTGATGGCCTGCTCTGCTCTGGTTCAAAGAGTAGAAAGATAATCTATTGTGATTAAATAAACACTAATTGGCTATTTTGTCAACATGCAAATCTAGGTTTTATCGATTTGAAAAGATTGATGATTTGAGAAGAAAATAAATCCCAGTTGATTGTTTAAAATACCGACATGTTCACTGTTTATCTTTAATTAAAAAATTAATATGTCTCATTTATCATTACATTGTTTGAACAAAAAATTATATTTTATTCTGGCTAAAGAGAAGAAATAAACCAGTACTAAAATACTGCTTTAAAAACATATATTAATTCAATACTTTTAACAACAATAACAAAAAAACTGAAAATTTAAGTCAAAGAAACATCAAATGTTCCTAATGTTCCCAGAGTAAATATAAAAAAATTAAATATAAATTGAACACAACTGATGTTAATGATGATTAAATAAATATGCTTCCAATGTCACTGATTTAGTTCTGCAGGTTTAACCATAGACTAGAATCTGTTCTGCTGTCTGTCCTATTGACCGAACTTATAGCCGACTTTCTCTTTGGTTCCTTAGTCTTTGTTGTTAACAGACATATCTGCTTATTGGGAAAAAACAAAAAGGTGAAAAGGGAAAGAGAAACTAGTTTATATATATATTGAATCAAACCAAGGCACAAATCTCTGTGTTTCTTATAGAATTACAAACGTATTTCAGCTGGATATTATATATTTTGTCCTGTTGCCCTTTATTTCTCTAAAAAGAACAGACACATATTTAAAACATGTGGTCAAAATTCTTCATTGGCTTCCTGTCATTATGCAAATGATTGGTTCTGGTTTAAGGTCTTGATTTAATGCTGTGAGGCTGCAGAAGAAGAGAAACTCCCATCAGATCATCTCCATCACCAACATGTTCTCTGTAGCTCTGCTGCTGCTGCTGGCTGCTGGATCCTGTGAGTCTGACTGAAGGAGAAACATTTACAGCATGATGATCCTAAACTGACTGTCTGTGTATTGAACCCAACTGTTTTCACTACAGATGTATCATGTGAAACTCTGACTCAGCCAGCCTCTTTAACTGTGCAGCCAGGTCAACGTCTGACCATCAGATGTCAGGTCTCTTATGATCTGGGCTACTGGACAGCTTGGATCAGACAGGCTGCTGGGAAAGGATTGGAATGGATTGGGGTGAATGATAGAGCTGGAAATTTACGCTTAAAAGATTCACTGAAGAACAAATTCGGGATTGATGTAGACACCTCCAGTAGCACAGTGACTCTGAATGGAGCGAATATGCAGCCCGAAGACTCTGCTGTGTATTACTGTGCCAGAGTGACACAGTGACACAAAAAAGCAGCAGAGCTGTGCAAAACCCCCTCAGAGCTTGGATGGTAGTTATATAGAATCACCAGAGGAGGCGCTCTTAGACCATTTGTTGTTGCTTTTAATTTGAAAGAAAGTTTTAACAACAAACTGAAAAGTTGAGCAGTAATAATCATAATATATATAAATATGATTATGTAGTTCCTTGTCGTACTGTAAAGTGTTTTTACATTATCATGCAAATTAACAACCTCTGCTGTGTATTTCTGTCTTGTCTGGTTTGTAGTTTGTGTCTCCAGCATCAGTGTGATGAACACACTCTCTGTTCTTCTTTTCGTCTTCTTACAACTGAGTTTGCAAAACTCAATTTCCAAATGATCAACAAACTCCTAGCAAAACAATACACATGTATGAATTTTATTTGCACTATTTTGCCAACTGTCTGGCACACTGTGACATGTTAAAACTGTATAGATAATTATTTAACACTTCAATCAGTCTAAGCACTATAAATAGGCCATAGGCGAGTTGTCTGTGTGGAGTACAATGGAGGGAGCAAGAAGAGTAAGGAAGAGGACATGGAGGGGAAGAAGTAGGAGAAAGAGAAGAAAAAAAGGAGACCAGATATGTCATCATATGGACAATATCAGTTTTCATTGGGCTGCTTTTTTTATTGGTTTTGGAAAAAACCAAGAGAAAAGTTAAGCAACTAGTATTAGCTTTTGCAAGAGAACTATGATGTTTTGCTGATTTGGCTCAGCTCAGCTCCTTTAATATTTGTTTGAGCCATCAAGGGCCACCCCTTTAGTTATGGTCCCCTTTTTGGGATTTTTCACCAAAAATTTAAAGGGCCCGCAGGACTTTTAGGGGCCCGTTTTTTATGTTTAAGGTTTCCCTGTCCTCCACTTTCCCCTTTAAAAAACCTCTTCCCGCGTTTTTTTAAAAAAACAAAAGGGGGGGAAAAAATGAGTAAAGCCCGGGGCTTTATTATGTATTTATTTCCAAAAGTATTAATCAAACCTGGGAGCTGGGGCCCGGGGGGACAGACACAAAACTTAATGACACAAACGCTGTGGTCACTCCTAAATTAACTTTTAAAAACCCGAAACTTTCCCAGGAATTTTGGGTTTGCTTTTATTACCGGGATCCCTTTTGGGCCCGCCCGTTTAAAATTTTTTAGATGAAAAAACACCTGCCCGGGAAAAGGCTGCTGTTGAATTTTTAAGTTTTTTAGGTAGAAAAATAAAAGGGGAAAAAAAATGGTATGATTTGTCCCCTTTAATTTAGTATTTAACAAAGTATTAATCAAAACCCCTCAAAATCATTTTTCCTCTGTTTCTGAAATTTTTAAAAAGCCCGCGCTAAAACAGACATGCCAAAATTTTTCCTTCTTCGCCCGTCAGAGTCACTTTCCGGGGCAGCGCAAGGGTCCTCAGAAAAAAATGGGCTTTTTCAAAAGCTTGAAAACAGAAACCAGCAGAACGTTTAGTCCAAGCATCTACAATTAAAAACGCAAAACCGGGGGTGGGCGTAACTTGCCCCGGGGCTGCCTTCCAAATTATCCTGAAACTGTGGTCTCCGTCTGTTAAAAACCATCGCTCCCCCGCCCCTCGCAGCCTTTTCTTTGAACCCGGCCGCTTACCCCCGAATTTTTCGAGCGGGTTTGAAGTTCCTTTTGCAGACCCCCCCGGGGGTTTCCCGGGGGGACCACACCCTTCATTTGTTCACCTTTTTTTTCCACATCGGCTGTGAGATGGGCACGCAGCGATGGTGATGCGTGGAAAAAAACACCTGTTCTCCTCACATACACCTCCCCCAGCCACGCTTTCATCATCTCCTCATCCATCCACCCTTTTTCATTTAATATCATATGTCATCAGAGCGCTGTGTCTGTCTTGCTGTCAGCTCCCAGATCAGCTTCTCTGATTGGTTGATGCGGTGCGTCCAGCAGCAAAACTTTTCCATCTCGAGCAGCAGCAGCGCGTTGGCGGTGCGTCAGATGCTTAAACGCTCCCGACGTGCTGCTCCAAAACGCGCTGCGGGACCTTTTGCTGCACCTATACGCGCGTCAACCATTGACTTTGCATGTAAACTCGCTGCTTCTGCTGCACCTGCTGGGTCCGGTTCACACCGATGTCGAGCGGTTTGAACAGCGAGCACAGCGTTAATTTGTTTCCCCATGTTTTTCACATCAGCTGTGGAGAGGAAAACCCCCGCAATTTGGGGTTACAAAATTAACCAGGATGGTGAGGGGTGGGGAAAAAAAAAAAACCCGGGGCTCCTTTTCATTCAGCCCCTCTTTTTATCTCCTCAATGGGGGTTGGGCTCAAAAGACGCAAATTCAAAAACCCAAAGGGGGCACCGCACCAATTTGGGCGCAGCACATTTTTTAGGAAAAAAAAAACGTTTAAGTGCGCCTTAAAAGCGTGAAAATACGGGTAAGTAATAAAAAATAAGCTATGTGCTTTTTAAAAGGGGGGGGTGGGAAAAAAAGGTGGGTTTTTAGCTTGCTTTTTTTAAAGAAAATCCCCTGGGGTCCAGAAAAGCGCCAAAAGGCAGGGGGGGGTTCCCTTCAGAAAACGGGGGGTGCCCACCGGGGTTTAAAGGGGCCGGGGGGCTCCCCGGGGTTTTTAAAAAAAGGGTCAGAGGAAACCATAAAAAGGTTTTGACCTGAAGGGCCTTAGGCTACGGACCGGGAAATATACGGGTGGATTTAAAACCTGGTTTTGTAGCCAGGGACCCGTCCATGAGGGGGGCCCAAGGTAAGGGCCGGGTTTTAAAAGTATTTTGGAGGAACAGGGGAAAACCCAATGGGGAGGATTTAGGGAGAGGATTAAATTTGGGGTGGTCCCTTTTTTTGTGGGGTCAGGAGGGCTTTTTTAGAAGAAATTTCTGGAAAGTTGGTAGGCGACCCAGCTCCTTCTTTTCTCGAAAGGGGGCAGGCTGTTACAGTAATCCAGTTTTTGAAGAAAAAGGAAAAAACATGGGATGATTCTCTCCAAAACATATGTTTAGAGGGTTTTCCTTTCCTTGGGATATTGTGCCGATGGAAGTAACATTTTCCTGATCAGTTGTTTTGAGTGTAGCGCAAGGGACATCCCCTCACCGAAAATCACTCCAAGATTGCGTAGACTGGATTTGGCTGAGGAACATAGATCACCCAGGTGCTGTTTAATGTCGGGGATGGCACTGTCAGGAGCAATAATGAGTGTCTCAGTCTTATCAGTATTCAGTGCGAGATAGTTGTCGTTTAACCACTGCTGAATCGACAGTTCATCAGAGAGTGTAATTTGTGGACCTCTGAGGTTTTAAAGGAGCAGTACAGCTGTATGTCGTCAGCAAAAAGATGATATGCCACATCACTGTGCTGCTGGATAATCTGGCCAAGACGGAGGAGATAAAGTAAGAAGAGAAGTGGTCCAAGGACTGAGCACTGTGGAACACCATACTGGAGATCTCCCCGCTCAGACATCATATCATTGACAGCCACACTGAAGCTCCTACCAGCTAAGTAGGAAGTAAACCACTCCAAAACTGGACCTAAAAGAAATTACAAAGGGCATTCAGTTGGTGCAGAGGTTAAGCATGCAACTAATGTATGAAAGCTTTGGTGCTTGATGTGGCTCTCACAGGTTTAATGATCCGTCCCTTCCCATTCCCACTCTCCTATCCTGCCTGCATACATTTGTAAATAGAGGACAGTAATACCTCAAAATACTCTTAGAAAGCTGCATATTCTCTCCATTCAGAGTCACTGTTTTGCTGGAAGTATCTAAATTAACGCTAAACTTGTTCTTCAAAGTAATTTTTACATTTATTTTTTTCTGGTGGTTTATTGTAATTGAAAAAAAATTATAATAATGTGGCCATTAATATAAATAAATACAATTTCAGTTTATCATTTCATACTTTTTTTTATTTATGAAACCGATAGAGAAACCCAATTATGGATGCAGTTTTATTCTCACTGAAGTGTTGAAATAGTGAAATCTTAATATATTTTTCACTGAAATGTAAAATATATATTGTTAATGATAAAATTAAGCTACTGTAGATCTCTTCTTTCACTGTCTGTTTCCAGAATGAGAGGAACAGTCAGAAACAGAACAGAAAAATATTCTATTCCTTACTAAATTTGATTTCAAGTAATTATGAATAAATAATGACGTTGGAAGAATATTGAAAACAGTGGTTTATGTCTATACACAAAAAGCTGAACTAGAACATATTTGTCGCTGAAATGAAAAAAAAAATGTTTTAATGATAAAGTTACAACTAGTTCTCTTCTTTCACTGTTTGTTTCCTGAACTAGAGGAAGAAAGAAGAAAAATAACCCAGATTCATACTGAATCAAACTTAACTGTGAGGAAAATATCTCACAAAGTGACAAATGTTTATTTTTTACGACAACCACCAGAAGAGAAACACCATGCCAGAAACAATAATACAGATTGATTTGAACCATTTTTAATCTGAGAATATTCTATAAATTCTATGGATTTTCTGAAAGCTTTTTTTATTTATCTGTGATACTAACTGGAAACAAATGTGCCTTTTATTTGTTTCTGTCTGAACAAAAACTGATATTTCTTCAATCTGGGGAAAAGCAATAACCCACTGTTTGAATAGTGCCATGAAAAAAATGATAATTGAGTTCAGAGATAATAAGTCAAAAGAACATTCAGATATGTTAAAGTTTTTAAACAAAAAGATAAAATCATTGACTTCCACAAGTCATTGATTTAGTATCACAAATGTAAGCAAAGACTACAATCTGTTCTGATGTCTTTCCTGCTCACAGCTCTTATAACTTTTGTCTAAAATATTGTATAATAATATAAAAATTCCTCCATTGCATTCCCATATATCATTTTTAAGAGTGTGCTATACTGTAAATGCAAACATATTCCTTAATTGTGGTTGATAGAAAAAAAACTTTTTCTGCTTTCTTACTGGCATTATTGTTTTTATGCAAATCAGAAGAGTCACGTTTTAAAGACTTGATCTGATGCTTTCAGCTGCAGATGGAGAAAAACTCCCATCAGATCACATGATCATCATGTTCTCTGTTGCTCTGCTGCTGATGGCTGCTGGATGCTGTGAGTTTGTTTATGGCATGGTCATTTTCTTTACTCTTGTTAACAATTCAGCTTTTATGTTCTGTTGTTTGTTCATTAGATGTGAGCAGTGAAACTCTGACTCAGCCAGCCTCTGAGGCTCTGCAGCCAAGTCAACGTCTGACCATCAGATGTCAGGTCTCTTATTCTTTCTATAACTACTATGGAGCTTGGATCAGACATCCTGCAGGCAAAGGAGTGGAGTGGATTGGGATGAAATCAAATTGGTTCACATTCTACCAAGATTCACTGAAGAACAAGTTTAGTATTGATGTAGACGCTTCCAGTAGCACAGTGACTCTGAATGGACAGCATATGCAGCCTGAAGACTCTGCTGTTTATTACTGTGCAAGATTCGACAACTACAGTGACACAAACGAGCAGCAAAGCTGTACAAAAATGAAACAAAATGTAGACAAAGGTTACGTTTTCTTATATTAAATCATAATGAATTAACTCTATAATTTTAAGGTTCTTGTTTTGTATCAGAATCTCATGTTCTATAATTATTTTTTGGGTAAAAAAAAGAAAAACCCTTTTGTCTGTCTACTTTGTTACCTGTTAGTTGTGATATAGAATTATAGTGTTTCATGTAATGGGACATGATTCTGCTGTTGAAGAGCATGAAATAAACCAACAACTAAACTGAAAATCTCAAAAGAATTTAATTAAAGTAGATAAAAACTAAAACATGGTCAGCAAGAAAGTATATTTATATCCATGAAATAAATATATTATTGAAGAAATGTTAGAATATCAATAAACAAAGATTAGTTTCTGGTTTACCTCTCTAAATGTCTGTCTAGATACAGAGGTACCAAAGAAAAGGGCTCAGCTGTAATTGTGAGTTGAGATATCCTGTTTTTCAGGAATCGTCTCAACATGTGGTTCAACAGAAATACTTAACAAACAGCTTAAAATGTGTATCAGAATTAGAGGAAAGGTTCAGAAACTCCTCAGTATATCAAGTTCTCATAAAAAAAAAACACAAGAGAAACCAGTAGTTTGATTTATAATAGACTGCGATAACAGAAGAAGATTCACTTTGTGAATTATCATCAAATGTTCCTAATGTTAGCAGTTTAAATATAGAAAAATTTAATTCCTACAAAGTCTGATGTGTGTGAACTTTTATTGCAAATTTTAAAAGTCATAATTTATTGATGGCCTGCTCTGCTCTGGTTGAAAGAGTAGAAAGATGATCTAATGTGATTAAATAAACACTAATTGGCTATTTTGTCCACATGCAAATCTAGGTTTTATCGATTTGATAAGATTGATGATTTGAGAAGAAAAGAAATCCCAGTCGAATGTTTAAAATACCGACATCTTCACTGTTTATCTTTAATTAAATAATTAATATGTCTCATTTATCATTACATTGTTTGAACAAAAACTTATATTTTATTCTGGCTAAAGAGAAGCAATAAACCAGTACTAAAATACTGCTTTAAAAACATATATTAATTCAATACTTTTAACAACAATAACAAAAAAACTGAAAATTTAAGTCAAAGAAACATCAAATGTTCCTAATGTTCCCAGAGTAAATATAAAAAAATTAAATATAAATTGAACACAACTGATTTAAATGATGATTAAATAATTATCCTCCCAATGTCACTGATTTAGTTCTGCAGGTTTAACCATAGACTAAAATCTGTTCTGCTGTCTGTCCTATTGACCGATCTTATAGTCGACTTCTTCTTTGGTTCCTTAGTCTTTGTTGTTAACAGACGACATACATCATGTATCTGCTTATTAGGAAAAAACAAATAAGGTGAAAAGGAAAGAGAAACTAGTTTATATATATACTGAATCAAACCAAGGCACAAATCTCTGTGTATCTTATAGAATTACAGAGGTATTTCAGCTGGATATTATATATTTAGTCCTATTATGCTCTATTTCTCTAAAAAGATTACCGGCAGACACATATTTAAACATGTGGTCAAAATTCTTAATTGGCTTCCTGTCATTATGCAAATGATTGGTTCTGGTTTAAAGTCTTGATCTGATGCTGTGAGGCTGCAGAAGAAGAGAAACTCCCATCAGATCATCTTCATCACCAACATGTTCTCTGTAGCTCTGCTGCTGCTGCTGGCTGCTGGATCCTGTGAGTCTGACTGAAGGAGAAACATTTACATCATGATGATCCTAAACTGACTGTCTATGTATTGATCCTAAATGTTTTCTCTACAGATGTATCATGTGAAACTCTGACTCAGCCAGCCTCTTTAACTGTGCAGCCAGGTCGACGTCTGACCATCAGATGTCAGGTCTCTTATGATCTGGGCAGCTACTACACAGCTTGGATCAGACAGGCTGCTGGGAAAGGACTGGAGTGGATTGGGAGGAAATATACTACATACTCAGACTACAAAGATTCACTGAAGAACAAGTTCAGTATTGATGTAGACACTTCCAGTAGCACAGTGACTCTGAATGGAGCGAATATGCAGCCTGAAGACTCTGCTGTGTATTACTGTGCCAGAGTCACAGTGACACAAACAAGCAGCAGAGCTGTACAAAAACCCCTCAGAGCCTGAACAGTTATACAAAACCACCAGAGGAGGCACTCTAGGACTATTTTTTGTTGCTTTTTAACTTGAAAGAAAGTTTTAACAACAAACTGAAATGTTGAGCAGTAACAATCATAATATATCAAAATATGATTATGTAGTTCCTTGACGTACTGTAAAGTGTATTTACATTATCATGCAAATTAACAGTCTCTGCTGTGTATTTCTGTCTTGTCTGGTTTATAGTTTGTGTCTCCAGCATCAGTGTGATGAACACACTCTCTGTTCTTCTTTTCCTCTTCTTACAATTGAGTTTACAAAACTCAATTTCCAAATGATCAACACACTCCTAGCTACGACGGAGTATTAGGGCCACACATGAAGAGAAAAAATATTTTTGCCATGACGAGATTAAACTCGACATGTCGACTTTAAACTCGCCATTTCGAGAATAAAGTTGAAATGACTGACATGTTCTCAAATTCAGAACTGCGAGCCTGGGTAAGCATAGGGAAATATGTTACGTTATTATTGGTAGGCCACCGCTTCCTGTGATGATTATATAGTTGCAGCACGTCAAAGACTACCTTCACTCTTAAAACGCAGACTGCAGCTGTGGAGCGCGGTTGCTCTTTTCTCCAAACTTTGGAATGTCGAGATTAAAGTCGCCACGATATATCAACTTTATTCTCGAAATGGCGAGTTTAAAGTCGACAGGGCGAGTTTAAAGTCGACACGTCGAGATTAAACTCAACATGACATTTCAACTTTATTCTCAAAATGTTGAGTTTAATCTCGACATGTCGACTTTAAAGTCGACATGTCGAGTTTAATCTCGTCATGGCAAAAATATTTTTTCTCTTCATGTGTGGCCCTAAAACTCCGTCATACCTAGCAGAACAATACACATGTATGGATTTTATTTACACTATTTTGCCAACTGTCTGGCACACTGTCACATGTTAAAACTGTTTTAGATAATTATTTAACACTTCAATCAGTCTAAGCACTATAAATAGGCCATAGGCGAGTTGTCTGTGTGGAGTACAATGGAGGGAGCAAGAAGAATAAGGAGGAGGACATGAAGGGGAAGAAGTAGGAGAAAGAGAAGAAAAAAGGAGACCAGATATGTCATCATATGGACAATATCAGTTTTCATTGGGCTGCTTTTTTTTATTGGCTTTGGAAAAAAGAGAAAAGTTAAGCAACTTGTATTAGCCTTTGCAAGAGCACTACAATGTTTTGCTGATTTGGTGAAATGTTTTATTTTTGTCTAGATTTTTGTAAAAAAAAAAAGCCAATAGTAACAATGATTGCCCTAAAGCCATTAAAGGAAAACCCCAAAGTCTACATTTTTAGAAATAGATAAGAAAATTGTGCCTAAAAATAAATTTATGTAACATACTCAATGTCAAACAGAATTCAGACTATAACTAATAATGCGACACTCAATAAATGTGTGGTAGTGCTGACCTCTTTTACATACAATGATGAAAAGAATACATTTCTAAATTATAACACTTGATGTCTGAGTTTCAAGATATTTGCAAACATACTGTAAATTTTATAGAATTTATAAAATAAATCACAGTGACCTTTACAAATACATAAATATTGTAGATCATGAACAGACATGATTTTGCTATTTCAATACATCAATAACTGTATTTATTGTAAAGAAGCAGCAGATATGTGCAACAAATCTAAAAAAGTGACAAATGTTTATTTTTTATGAGAACACATTATCTGTGATACAAACTGGAAACAAATCTGCCTTTTATTTGTTTCTGTCTGAACAAAAACTGACATTTCTTCAATCTGGGGAAAAGCAATAACCCACTGGTTGAATAGTGCCATGAAAACAATGATAATTGAGTTCAGAGATAATAAGTCAAAAGAACTTTCAGATATGGTAAAGTTTTTAAACAGAAAGATAAAACCAGTGACTTCCACACGTCATTGATTTAGTTCCACAAATTTAAGCAAAGACTAAAATCTATTCTGATGTTTTTCCTGCTAACAGCTCTTATAACTTTTGTCTAAAATATTGTATAATAATATAAAAATTCCTCCATTGCATTCCCATACATCATTTTTAAGAGTGTGCTATACTGTAAATGCAAACATGTTCCTTAATTGTGGTTGATAGAAAAAAAACCTTTTTCTGCTTTCTTAATGGGATTATTGTTATTATGCAAATCAGAAGAGTCAGGTTTTAAAGACTTGATCTGATGCTTTCAGCTGCAGATGGAGAAAAACTTCCATCAGATCACATGATCATCATGTTCTCTGTTGCTCTGCTGCTGATGGCTGCTGGATGCTGTGAGTTTGTTTATGGCATGGTAATTTTCTTTATTGTGGTTAACAATTCAGCTTTTATGTTCTGTTGTTTGTTCATTAGATGTGAGCATTGAAAGTCTGACTCAGCCAGCCTCTGAGTCTCTGCAGCCAGGTCAACGTCTGACCATCAGATGTCAGGTCTCTTATTCTTTCTACGAATACTATGGAGCTTGGATCAGACAGCCTGCAGGCAAAGGAGTGGAGTGGATTGGGATGAAATCAAATTGGTTCACATTCTACAAAGATTCACTGAAGAACAAGTTTAGTATTGATGTAGACGCTTCCAGTAACACAGTGACTCTGAGTGGACAGCATATGCAGCCTGAAGACTGCTGTGTATTACTGTGCAAGATACAACGACAACCAAAGTGACACAAACAAGCAGCAGAGCTGGACAAAAACCCCTCTGTGTCTAAATTAATCCACTGTTCTACAAAAGGCTCTCAGATTAATTGGCTAAATTAATAAATAAAAAATGAAAACAAATGTAGACATGTTTCATAATTATTTTTTGGCTAAAAAGACAAAAACCCTTTTGTCTGTCTATTGCAAATTACTGAATCTACTTTTTTACCTGTTAGTTGTGATATAGAATTATAGTGTTTCATGTAATGGGACATGATTCTGCTGTTGGTCTATAGAGCATGAAATAAACCAACAAATAAATTGAAAATCTCAAAAGAATTTAATTAAAGTAGATAAAAACTAAAACATGGCCAGCAAAAAATATATTTGTGTCAATGAAATAAATATATTTTAGAAGAAATTTTAGAATATCAATAAACAAAGATTAATTACCAAGTTTTCCCTCTCTAAATGTCTGTTTAGATAAAGAGGTACCAAAGAAAAGGGCTCAGTTGTAATTGTGGGTTGAGATTTCCTGTTTTTCAGGAATCGTCTCAACATGTGGTTCAACAGAAATACTTCTTCGTTACTTGTTTTAACAAACAGCTTAAAATGTGTATCAGAAGTGGAGGAGAGCTTCAGAAACTCCTCAGTATATCAAGTTCTCATAAAAAAACACCACAAGAGAAACCAGTAGATTGATTTAAAATAGACTGCTGTAACAGAAAAAGATTCACTTTGTGAATTATCAACTTACCTGTTTAAATATAGAAAAATTAAATTCCTAAAAAGGCTGATGTGTGTGAACTTTTATTGCAAATTTTAAAAGTAATTTATTGATGGCCTGCACTGCTCTGGTTGAATTAGTGCAAAGATCATCTAATGTGATTAAACACAAATTGGCTATTTTATCAACATGCAAATCTAGTTTTTATCGGTTTGATAAGATTGATGATTCATGATTTGAGAAGAAAAAAAAATCCCATTAGATTATTTTCAATACCAACATGTTCTCTGTTAATCTTTAATTATATGATTAATATGTCTCATTTATCATCACATTGTTTGAACAAAAACTTATTTATTTTATTCTGGCTGGAGAGAAGCAATAAATCAGTACTAAAATACATCTTTAAAAACATAATGCATTCAATACTTTTAACAACACTAACAAAAAAACAGAAAATAAAAGTCAAAAAGCATCAAATGTTCCTAATGTTAGCAGTTTAAATATAAAAAATAAAATTCCTAAAAAGTCTGATGTGTTTGAACTTTTATTCTAAGTTTTAAAAGTCATTATTTATTGATGGCCTGCTCTGCTCTGGTTGAAAGAGTAGAAAAAAATTATTTAATGTGATTAACAGGTAAACTGAGGTTTTAGAGAATTTATCTAAAGCTGTCGTCTGCAAAAGAAGAATAAAGTTTGTTCTCTGATAATTTTATATGAAATATTTAATATATCTCATTTTTCATTACAGTGTTTGAACAAAAACTGTTAATTCATCTGGCTGAAGAGAAGCAATAAATCATTACTAAAATAATAATATAAAAACAAACACTGAGTTTAATTCTTTCGAAAAAACATTTTTTAGAAAACATTAATCAGAGAAACATATCACTAAGCTCTCTAAATATAAATTGAATACAACTGATGTAAATGATGATTAAATAATTATCCTCCCAATGTCACTGATTTAGTTCGGCAGATTTAACCATAGACTAGAATCTGTTCTGCTGTCTGTCCTATTGACCGATCTTATAGTCGACTTCTTCTTTGGTTCCTTAGTCTTTGTTGTTAACAGACGACATACGTCACGTATCTGCTCATTGGGAAAAAAGACAAAGGTGAAAAAGGAAAGAGAAACTAGTTTATATATATATTGAATCAAACCAAGGCACAATTCTCTGTGTTTCTTATAGAATTACAGAGGTATTTCAGCAGGATATTATATATTGTGCTTTATTTCTCTAAAAATACACATGTTTAAAACATGTGGTCAAAATTCTTCATTGGCTTCCTGTCATTATGCAAATGATTGGTTCTGGTTTAAAGTCTTGATCTAAAGCTGTGAGGCTGCAGAAGAAGAGAAACTCCCATCAGATCATCTTCAACACCAACATGCTCTCTGTAGCTCTGCTGCTGCTGCTGGCTGCTGGATCCTGTGAGTCTGACTGAAGGAGAAACATTTAGAGCTTGATGGTCCTAAACTGACTGTCTATGTATTGATCCTAAATGTTTTCTTTACAGATGTATCATGTGAAACTCTGAATCAGCCAGCATCTTTAACTGTGCAGCCAGGTCAACGTCTGACCATCAGATGTCAGGTCTCTTATGATCTGCTCACCTGGACAGGTTGGATCAGACAGGCTGCTGGGAAAGGACTGGAATGGATTGGGATGAAAGGCACTGGCTACTCGTCCTACAAAGACTCACTGAAAAACAAGTTCAGTATTGACTTAGACACTTCCAGTAAAACCGTGACTCTAATTGGACAGAATATGCAGCCTCAAGACTCTGCTGTGTATTACTGTGCCAGAGACACAGTGACACAAAAAAGCAGCAGAGCTGTACAAAAACCCCTCAGAGCCTGGATGGTAGTTATATAGAATCACCAGAGGAGGCGCTCTAAGACCATTTTTTGTTGCTGTTTAATTTGAAAGAAAGTTTTAACAGCAAGCTTTAAAGGTTGAGCAGTAATAATCATAATATATCAAAATATGATTATGTAGTTCCTTGACATACTGTAAAGTGTATTTACATTATCATGCAAATTAACAGTCTCTGCTGTGTATTTCTGTCTTGTCTGGTTTATAGTTTGTGTCTCCAGCATCAGTGTGATGAACACACTCCATGTTCTTCTTTTCCTCTTCTTACAATTGAGTTTACAAAACCCAATTTCAGAATAATCAACACACTCCTAGCAAAACAATACACATATATGGATTTTATTTACAATATTTTGCCAACTGTCTGGCACACTGTTACTTGTTTAAGATAAATAGTTCACTTTTCAATCAGCATAAGCCCTATAAATAAGCCACAGGTGAGCTAGCTGCGTGGAGTTCAATGGAGGGAGGAATAAGAGTAAGGATTAGAGGAGGAAGAGGACAGGGAGGGGGAGGAGGAGGAGAAAGAGAAGAAGAAAAAGGAGACCAGATATGTCATCATATGGGACAATATCAGTTTTCATTGGGCTGCTTTTTTTATTGGCTTGGGAAAAAACCAAGAGAAAAGTTAAGCAAGATGTATTAGGTTTATGCTGATTTGGTGAAATGTTTTATTTCTGTCTAGATTTTTACAAAAAATAGCCAATAGTAACAAAAATTGCACTCAAGCTGTCAAAAGAAAACCCAAAAGTCTACGTATTTAGAAATTGAGAATTTCGCCTAAAAACATAATTTTATGTAACATTTTCAATGTCAAACAAAATACAGACTATAACTACTTATGATACACTCAATTAATGTGTGCTAGTGCTGACTTCTTTTAATTACAATGATGAAAAGAATACATTTCTAAATGATAACACTTGATGTCCTTTAAGTTTCAAGATATTTGCAAACATACTGTAAATCTAATAGAATTTATAAAATAAATCACAGTTACTTTTACAAACACATAAATATTGTAGATCATGAACAGACATGATTTTGCTATTTCAACACATCAATAACCGTATTTATTGTCTTTAACATGATACATTGGAAATACAAAGAAGCAGTGCAAAAATCCCTCAAAAAGTGATAAATGTTTTATTCATGAAAACCAGAATAGGAAGACCAGACCAAAACAACTATTCAGATTAATCTTTTTCGGTTTCATTTGTATGTTTGCTAAGCCATAACAAGGCTTTTGTTTGAGACATCCTATAAGCCTGGAACTCAAACTCTAATCCAGAGTTTGAATTGAGATAGCTTCTTGCATGGGAAGTGAGATGTCTTCAAACTTGCAAAACAATTCCAGTGTTTTTATTTTCATTTTATTATTTTTTTTTTTTACTTTTTTGGACTGGGAAGAAAAGATTTGAAGCATTTTTAATCTTAGAATATTCTATAAATTGTATGGCTTTTCTGAGATACAAAGTGGAAATAAATATGGCCTTTATTTATTTCTGTCTAAACAAAAACTGACATTTCTTCAATCCGGAGAGAAGAAATAACTCACTGGTTGAATAGTGCCATGACAAAAAATGAATATTGAGTTTAGAGATTATAAGTCAAAATAACTTTCAGACATGGTAAAATTTTATAAACAGGAAGATAAAATCAGCGACTTCCACAAGTCATTGATTTAGTCCCACAAATTTAAGCAAAAACTACAATCTGTTCTGATGTCTTTCCTGCCTGCAGCTCTTATAGGTTTTGCCTAAAAATATTACATAATCTAAAAATTCCTCCATTACTTTCCCATACATCATTTTTAAGAGTGTACTATACTGTAAATGCAAACATATTCCTAAACTGTGGTTGATAGAAAAAAAGCATTATTGTTATTATGTGTTCATATTCCTTAAATATATATATTGAATCAAACCAAGGCACAAATCTCTGTGTTTCTTATAGAATTAAAGAGGTATTTCAGTTGGATATTATATATTTAGTCCTATTCTCCTTTGTTTCTCTAAAAAGAACAGACACATATTCAAAACATTTGGTCAACATTCTTTATTGGCTACAGTAACAAAGTATTTGTACTTCGGTACCTGACACCTCTGCTGATCTGGGCACAGAGGGATTCGCTTTTTACACGATAAGTTTAATTTCAGGTTTGGTTCAGTCTGACACTAAATTGCTCTAAATATAACATCTAAGTTTTGCCTTCCTACAAATGTGTTTTGTTTCATTCTCTTCTAAAGTCAATAAAAACAGTTCTATTATGTTTTATTTAAAATACATTTATTTTGCACTGTTCTTTGCATAAATATTTAAATAAAAGAAAAGACAATAAAACAGGGGTAGTTATATCTCTGTAATATTAGGTTTATAAAAAGAATAATAAATGAAGTAGGGATAACAAAGCGCAGGTAATCAGAGATATTAAAAATTGATAGGCATTGTAGGTAAACTGCAAATTACTTTATTATCTCAACCTTTCAATTTTAGTCCTGTGGTTCTAAGCCTATAAAACCCTTAGAGAGAAGTCCTAACTATACAGAATATAAACAAATAGTGATGTTAAAAGTAATTCTGTTACATTGGCTCATGACCATGTGTATATAGCTGACCTTTGACCTTCCAGATAAAACTTGGGTAATCCATAAACAGCACACTGAACTGAAACATATTTGTAACGAAGGCCAAAATGCAAAAAAACAAACAAACAACCTTTTTAATGAAATAGTCACAAAGAGTATTTTTCTTTGACCTTTTGTTTCCTAAACTAGAGGAAGAAATAAAAAAAAAGAAAATAATATATCAATATTACAGATTTAATTACATTGTCTTTTAAAGCTGTTAAATGAACAGGAAAACACGTGGTCAAAATATTGACATCTTGTTTGTCATTATGCAAATGATTGTTTCTGGTAAAGTCTTGATCTGATGCTGTGAGGCTGCAGAAGAAAAGAAACTCCCATCAGATCATCAGATCATCTTCATCACCAACATGTTCTCTGTAGCTCTGCTGCTGCTGCTGGCTGCTGGATCCTGTGAGTCTGATTGAAGGAGAAACATTAACAGCATGATGATCCTAAACTGACTGACTATGTATTGATCCTAAATGTTTTCTTTACAGATGTATCATGTGAAACTCTGACTCAGCCAGCATCTTTAACTGTTCAGCCAGGTCAACGTCTGACCATCAGATGTCAGGTCTCTTATGATCTGAGCTACTGGACAGCTTGGATCAGACAGGCTGCTGGGAAAGGACTGGAATGGATTGGGATGAAATATACTGGAAACTCGTACTACAAAGACTCACTGAAGAACAAGTTCAGTATTGATTTAGACACTTCCAGTAAAACAGTGACTCTAAATGGACAGAATATGCAGCCTGAAGACTCTGCTGTGTATTACTGTGCCAGACAACCACAGTGACACAAACAAGCAGCAGAGCTGTACAAAAACCCCTCAGAGCTTGAATGGTTGTTATATGTAATCACCAGAGGAGGCGCTCTAAGACCATTTTTTGTGGTTGTTTAATGTGAAAGAAAGTTTTAACAACAAACTGAAATGTTGAGCAGTAATAATAATAATAATAAATCAAAATATTATTATGTAGTTCCTTTGCCTACTGTAAAGTGTTTCTCCATCATAATGCAAAATAACACGCCCTGCTGTGTATTTCTGTCTTGTTTGTAGTTTGTGTCTCCAGCATCATTATGATGAACTATGTTCTTCTTTTATTTTTCTTACAACTGAGTTTGCAAAACTCAATTTCCAAATGACCATCACAATCCCAGCAAAAAAGTTACAAATATATGGCTATTATTTACAATATTTTGCCAACTGTCTGGCACATTGTCACATGTTAAAACTGTTAAAGATAATTATTTAACACTTCAATCAGTCCGATGCCAGGTCTCTTACTGTATGATCTGAGCTCCTGGACAGCTTGGATTAGAGAGGCTGCTGGGAAAGGTCTGGAGTTGGAATGGGCTGAAATATACTGGAAACTTACACTATAAAGATTACCTAAAGAACAAGTTTAGTGACACTTCAAGTAAAACAGTGACCCTGAATGGAATATGCACCCTGAAGACTGCTGTGTATTACTGTGCCAGACACCCCCACAGTCTGAATACTGGCTAATGTCTTCACAAAAGGAGACAGTTCAAGAACAATATTAGATTGTTTGTGGAGCTGTATTTGAAAGAAAGTTAATAGCAAGATAATTATTTACTGGCATATAATACTAATAATTAAAACAATTAGAATTAACAAAGCATAAAAAAACAAATATCATATTGTCATATATTTAGACAAGAAAAAAATAATTCAGATTACCTAAAGAAAAAATTCTAACTTGGGTTAGACATGCTGCTGTAGAAGGACTGGAGTGGATTGAGAATGAGATTGAGATGGAGATTAATATTACAAGGGTCCAGCTAGATACCACATGCCACTTAGTGCAGAAACTGTGGAGCTCTGGTCAGTTTATGCTGGCGAAAATAACTACATCCCTCTTTGGTCAAGGGTAGGCTACCTAGGCGAGTAGAATTAATACTTAAATGCTGATTTGTTTATTAAAAAGTAGCTGCTGAAATATTTTTGCTAAGGTTTATGATAAACATTTAAATTGTCTTTTTAATGTTAAGCTGTCGTTCCTGTCTTCGTAAAGTTGTGTTTTTGCTGTTCTGTGTGGTTATCTCTTATTCCATCTCATTTGTTCCGATGTGCATTCTTCAAGTCCAGCTTCCTTTTGTTATATAAGCTGCCACATCAATGCGTCGCTTGATCAGTCATCTTATTGAAGGCAGCTTGGTTTATGACCCAAAGATATTTTTATGACCTGGTTTTGGCACGGTTTGAGATCTTGTGGTTCCCGGCCTGTGGTTATTATCCAAGCCTAGCTGCAAGACTTGTCCTGATTACAGTTCTGTGTTTGTGAGGTGCTGGTTAGCTGTTGTTAGCTGTGGATTACCTGTGTTAGTTGCTAAGCCATTGTTTGCCGGTGTTGTGATTCTATAGTTAAATTCTATTCCCAGCCCGCTGGGAATTTATGTTTCTGATACTTTAAGATGTTTATTGCCCTCCCCTGTAGGGGTGGTAAAATATCTTATTTAATCAGATATTATTTCAGCTGTTATATACTGTTTATGACACACAGTCCTACTAACTGTGTGTTAGAACAATAGATGAAAGAGTGATTCGAGCACTAATCATGGTCAAACAGTTATTTCTGCACATACATGGAATAAATTCACCACAACTTCTGTTCAAAATATAAGATTTTATTAACAAAAATCATTCAGCTCCAAATCAAACATATTTCAGTTTAACACTCTCAACTAAGACTAGTAAAACTCAACTAAACTAAACTAACTACTATGTACAAAGAGGAAGGGGAAAACGGTTGA